AGCCTCCTTTCAGGCAGTTGCAGAGAGCGATGAGGGCTCCCCTCAGCCTCCTCTTCTCCAGGCTGAGCCCCCCCAGCTCCCCCAGCCGCTCCTCCCCAGCCTTGGGCTCCAGCCCCTGCCCCAGCCTCGCTGCCCTGCTCTGGCCACGCTCCAGCCCCTCCATGGCCGCCTTGGGGTGAGGGGCCCAGCGCTGAGCACAGCATTCGAGGGGTGGCCTCACCAGTGCCCAGCACACAGGGACGATCCCCGCCCTGGTCCTGCATAATACAAGCTTTTAACTGCTTGCATTTGAATGTCAGACAAATAATAATTTGAACGGTAAAGGGATTTGTGAAAATAATTTAAATCAGAAGGATTATTTTTGACAGACAAGGGCTACAAGAATTTCTGCTTGTTTGCTCACAGAAAATAAAACTAAGGAATTGAAACAAGTAAACCAAAAGGCAAAAACGTCATTAGAGGCGTGCCGGGAGGAGCGCAAGCCCAGCAGCTGATTTTCTGGGAGGCGGCGCATGGTAATAGCGTGGCGTAGCCAGATCCCCCGTGCACGCTCCCGGGCGTCCCTGTGAATCCAAGAAGCCGAAGATCGACCATTCCGCTGCCAGATGTGGTTACGGTCTCAGGGAGCCCTCAGGAGCACCCCGCAGAGGAGCACGCTGCCCTGGCGCCGCCCCTGCAGCGCTGGCGACCTAACGGTTTCTAAGCACGGTGCGCGTGGTGGGAATTCTGTCTGAGGTCGATTCGTAGCACTATGTGTCCTCATACTTCCAGTGTTTAAGCTTTTAAATTTTGTTTAAAATGTTACCAAGGTTTAATTGTATGAGTTGACACATTCCATGTCAAGCAACTGCCTAAATCTGATTTTTCTCTACTAAAAAATAAAATTTAAAATTGGCTAGCTTATTTCAAGAAAGAAAGGCTTGTATTGCAACGTTTGCTCTGGACAGGTCTACAAAACCTTTAAAAATTATCTGAAATATCATCAGCAAGCCCTGCTGTCCCGAAAAGGCAGCCCAAGCGCAGTAAGCTGAACGCCTGCCAGAGGCTGCGGTTGCCCACCCTCAGCCAAGCTTTGCTAAGGCTTCACTGGCCAAAGTCACTGCTGTCCCTGGCACCCACCCCCAGCCACCAGTGCCAGGAGCCCTCCCCCTCCGCGGGCTCTGCTGTGGTGC